ATGTAATCTTGGATTTTGTCGTTAGCAGGGAAAGAGGGGGACGTATAGGAGCATCTATGTTTATCGTAGCATTACTTAAGAGCACAAAAAGTAGTTAATTTCACTCAGAAAACTTAACAATTTACTCTTTATATCAACTATTTGTTAACTTTTCTAATGACCTCCTAGTCAGCAAATACTGCATTTGGCTCATTTAACACTTCATTTAGCTAATAAAAAAGCATGTGGCCAAAATTGTCTTTGGTTGCATACTCCATTCTTGTGCCCTGACAGCGACTGCAGCATGCCGTGCAAATGCTGACATTCAGAAGGTATTAAGTCACTTCTCTTTGAAAAAAATACCACAGCTGCCAACACGCACTTTCATATGATTTGCTTTTTAAGAAATTAAAATGCTGTTTTCATTTAAAAAAAAAAAGGTACCTTGATGGTTCTTCCACTGGAGAGCAATTTCCTTTGTGAAGCGATCAGTGACGCTCACAGAAGAGAATCTAGTCCCTATACAACAGGCCATACACTTAGCCATCAAAAAACAGCTCTATTTGTATTTTTTAAGCAGTATACCGGCCCTTGTGCCTCCAAACAAGTGTGTTGGAAACATCTATTATTGACTGTCAGAGCAAAAGTCCATCTCTGAAGTTAATAAGTCTTTTTAATTAAAAAAGCTGAGCCAAACTGTACTGCTCATTGATCACAGCTAAGCTTACTGGAATTTGTTTTCACTCTGTCATCTTTTGCACATACAGCAATATACTATACAGATATTTGAGAGGAAGAGGCATACTTAATAAGCTTACCTCCTATTATTCTAACATTCTGATGTTATCTACAGAAATTGAAGCAATTAAGCAAATATGATATTCCAGACTCCTGATAGTTCCTAGAAGAGACTTTTGAACCAGAACTAGAGCAAATCCACCTTTTAAAATCAAGGAACTTTTTAAAAACTTAGGGACTTGTCTACCTGATGATAAATCAAAAGATGAACATATAAAATACAATATATAATGGTAGTTCTGTAACTTCAGTAGGACTCAGGAAATCGCCTGGATGACTGTTAAAATGCAGATTCCTGATCTCATTTCCAGAGATTCTTATCCAGTAGGTCTGAAGTGGAATCTAGATATGTATTATGAAAATACAGACCAAAGATCCAGAAATGAACATTCTGAAGATATTTTCATTAATGGAGGCTCAGCACATAAAATCATTAGCATGAGTCACATTGTTACTATTCTCACATTAAATAATTTACAACAATGGTTCTTGGCTTTTGAGGAAAATCAGAGAACGCTTTGAGAAACTATTGACCTCTCTTTAAAAATATGCAACATGCACACAAGACTTCACCCACAGTAAGAGGGTTGTGCATCCTCCAAAAACCCCAAGATGCTCAAGCTAGAACATTACCCTGGGATATAGCTGCACACAAGTCAGGTGAAATTCTAGGATCTTCAATAAACATTTTGGGTTACTCTACATAAACTGTCTTTAATATGTATAATTATTTGAATTTCCCATAAGAATTAGTTGGTATCCATAAAAACTCTTGGCAATGTCAAGTTAAGAATCACTATCTATTCCAAAAGGCTGTTTCCTTACTGTTCAAAAAAGATGTAATTTCTAATCACTAAGACTAAAGTTACTAATATATAAAAACATGAAGAATCTTAGATACATGAAATTATCAAAATAGGGAGGCTCTTAAATGCAAAAATGTTTCCCACAGATTCATACCAAAATTGAAAATATAGGTGCTCCTCAACTTAGGATGGGGTTATGTCCCAAAAAACCCATCGTGAATTGAAAATATCTTAGGTCAAAAATGCATTTAATATACCTAGCCTACCAAACACCATAGCTTAGCCTAGTCTACCCTAAATGTGCTCTGAACACATATTAGCCTACAGTTGGGCAAAATCATCTGACACAAAGCCTATTTCATAATGAAGCATTGAATATCTCATGTAATTTATTGAATTCTGTACTGAAAATGAAAAACTGACTGGTCGTATGGGTACTCCAAGTTATGGTTTCTACTGACTGCGTTGCTTTCACATCATCATAAAGCTGAAAAAGCCCAAGTCAAACCACTGTAAGTTGGAGACTGTCTGTACTATTAACATTTAAAATTAGAAACTACCTGAATTTTAACAACTTTAAATATCACATAATATAGCACATATTGTACATGTTATAAGGGTGCAGACAGAGCATCTTTTGAAAACTGAAATAAATCTTTAAAAACTTAGACTAACAAATTTACCTCAACTATGTATTTCAGCAATCTCAATAGCTCAAGTTTACACAGTATTTGCTAACTGGATTTTGTGGACTGATTAAGACTTTAGCACTATATCATCAATCCCATATCAAAAAATATGCTAGAGATTCACATTATCTAGTAAAAATTATATTTTAACAAGTAGTTTTATAATAAAACTTGACAAAAGTTCAACTTACTAAGTATGTTAAGATTTAAAAAAAGTCTGAAGTAGATATCACATTACATAGCAGAAAAAAACTCCCAAAAAGCCACTGTCCAGGAAGAACAAGGACATCAAGATGTTCCAAGCAATTTCCTGAATAGCAGGAAATGAAAGGCTAGTGATGCTGAGTTTTTGATCAGTTTACTTTCTTTTTCTGAATAGACTTACTCATTATTAACTGATGAAAGATAACAAACATAATATTAAAAAATAAAATCTAATGGCTCTACCGTCATGATTGTCAGTTAATGCTCAACTAGGAAAAAAGTTCATTTGGTTCCCTAACTTTCTAGGGGAAAAAAAAAATCTACTCATAGGATAATTTCGGAACTGCGCGACCTTTTCTTTACACTAGTATCATCAATTTTAGTAAGTTGCTTTATTCAGAAAATTTTATCTTCCAAGGCAACAGTATGGTCACTTCCACACTGATGAAAAATGCTTTCAGTTACAAAAGGGATCATGCAAAGCAGATAAAAATATACACTGGGGAAAGAGAGCCCTATTCAACAAATGGTGCTGGGAAAATTGAAGAGCCACATGCAGAAGAATGAAATTTCCTCTCTCTCACAATACACAGAAATTAACTCAAGATGGATTAAAGACTTAAATGTAAGACCTGACACTGTAAAAATTCTAGAAGAAAACTTAGGAAAAACTCTTCTGGTCGTTGGCTTAGGCAAAGAATTTATGACTAAGACCCCAAAAGCAAACACAACAAAAACAAAAATAAATAGGACTTAATTAAACTAAAAAGTTTCTGCACAACAAAAGAAATGAGTAAAGAGACAACCTACAGAATTGGAGAGAATATTAGCAAACTATATATTTGACAAAGCATCTAAAAGGAACTCAAATCAGCAAGAAAAAAATAAATAACCCCATTAAAAAGTGGGCAAAAGACATGAACATTTTTCAAAAGATATACAAACATGAAAAAATGTGCAACATCAATACTCAGAGAAGTGCAAACTAAAACCACAATGAGATACCACCTTTTGACCATTATTAAATAGTCAAAAGACAGCAGATGTTGGCACAGATACAGTGAAAAGGGAACACTTATACACTATTGGTGAGAATATAAATTAGTACAACCTCTATAAAAACAGTACGGAGACTCCTCAAAGAACTAAAAGTAGACCTACCACTACTGGGTAGTGGTACAAAAAGAAAAATAAATCATTATACCAAAAGGACACATGCACTCATATGCTTATCACAGCACAATTCACAATTGCAAAGATATAGAATCAACCTAAGTGTCCATCAACTGGCAAGTGGACATATATATACACACACACATATATAGATAAACATATACCATGGAATACTACTCAGGCATAAGAAAGAAAGAAAGAATGTCTTTTGCAGTAACTGAGATGGAAGTGGAGGCCATTATGCTAAGTGAATTATCTCAGGAATGGAAAAACAAATACCACATGTACTTACTTATAAAAGGAGCTAAATGATCGGTATACATAGTCATATCAACTGGTATAATAAACTTTGGCAACTCAGAAGGAGGGAGGGTGAGACATGGCGAGGCATCAAAATTACCTACCAGGTACAATGTACACTCTTTGGGAGATGGGTACACTAAAAGCCCTGACTTCACAACTATATAATTTACCCATGTAAAAAAACAAACAAAAAAACCATTTGTACCCCCTACCATCTATTCCAATTTAAAAACATAAAAATAAAAAAGGGGTCATGTTTCTCATTTCCATAACTCATTCAAATGCTTATTTGATTCACATAAAAATATGAGATGTACTGAGGTTCATGTTGGATTTTTTTCTTCTGATAAAGAACTAGCAGACTATTTCTAAGCATAATTTAACTGAAAGCACTACTTCAACTTCAAATTTATTTTAATAATATATACAAGAGTTAACAAATCACAATTAAAATGTAATCAGTTATGTTAATTCTACATAACTTAAAATCATGCAATACTGCATGGTAAAACCAACAGCTTCATTCATATACAAAAAAGTATTATTTTGAGACTCATGATAGTATCTTGAAATTTTGACAAAAGCTTTTTGCAAAGAGTATTTTATAAAAATTTAAAGGCCTGATTACTCAGTTAATGCACTATTAGGAAAGATAATAAACATTATTAGTAAAGTGAAGATACAAGCAATTAATTTTAAAATTACACCAGGTACAGATTTGAATGTAGTTCTCATGAAATAAATGCTAAGAAAATAGTTTTGAAAAAGATCTCATATTGAAGCCATGTATTAATTTTGGCAAACCAGGTTATATAAATCAATAGTCAAGTTTATTCAGTTAAAGAAAATATGCCTAACCTTTCTTATACTCATAAATAAGTACTTATAGTCTTTATATACAAGTGAAGAAAAGTTCAATGTAAAAAATATACTGCCAATCCACTTAATGGTTGAAATAGTTCTTTATCTACACATTAAATTGCATTGATGAAAATGTCCAATTTAAATCACATTCAACCAGCATAAATATTTAAGCTGAGCATTGTTGTAAACAATAGAAAAAAACAAATCCTTTTTTAAAATTTCATTACTAGGTAACAATTTCTCAGCTTTGAACGCTATAAAGGCTCAACATTTAATTTAATCAAATTCAAAACCCACTAAACTTAGAGTAAACAAAGTGAATGTTTTTCAAAGTGCATAATTTCCAACTCATCCACTTGTAATATTTATCCAATTCCAGTTCATCAGCAAGAAAATAAAATGTACTTGGCTATAAAAATACTAAGGAATGTTATCGAAAAGTAGAAGTAACTACAAAAATAATTAGTTTAAATCTTTGTAAAGCTTTAATGCAAGAACATCAGTACATTTTCTTTCCATAAACCTTAAAGCATGATCAATACCAAGATTTTAAATTTCCAACTTTCAAATACTTGAAAAGGAATTGCAACAAAGTGTCTTAAAAAAAAAAAAAAAAAAAGCAAGAAGAGTGATCATGCAGGTGTTAATCTGCTGACATCTGAGGACACTGGTATCTGTGTTGGGCTGTCATCTCTGGCTCCACTGGCAGTAAGCATGGGCAAGGTGTTATTCTGAAATGCAGACGTAGGATGTGTCATGCCAAAATTTTCATCTTCACCAATGTCTGAATCTGGTGTTGTAACTTCACTGTCCTGAAGCCCCAGGATCTCACAGACTGCTTGTGGCAATTCCTGGATATGAAAAAAAACAAACACAAAACCATCACTCACTAGAGAGGAAAAATAATCACAAAGTAATACTTCTGTTTAAAACTGCATTGATTCCAGAATCTCAACACTTGTTCTAACAGTATAAATGTCATGTACCATTCTCAAAACTTCATTATTCACTCCAAATGAAATCCTAACCACCTTTTCTTTTTTTTTTTGTAAGTGGTTCCTAGATATCTTCCAAATTAGTTACTCTTCATTCTACCTCAGCATTTCCACAAACATACAGTTTTCTAATATTTGGCATTTCTTTCTCCTTTTCATAATAATATTATATCTTATTTATACTATCTTTCTCTCTTAGTAAATAAAAGTTCCTTAAAGGTAAAAAGTATCTGGCTGAAATGTCTTAGAATACAATAGCTATCAAATAAATATCTGCAGAACTGAATCAACTGTTTGGATCCATGAACAAATGATACAAGGACCAAACAAGAATTCTTACAAAAATACAAGAGCCACAAGCAAGGCACCGTGGCAAGTGCCTATAGTACCAGCTACTCTGGCTGGGAGGCTGAGGCGGGACGGATCACTTGAGCTTAGGAGTTTGAGGCCAGCCTGAGCAACACAGTGAGATCCTGTCTCTTAAAAAAAAAAAAACAAAAAAAAAACCAAATGGCAAACTCAAAACCATCAAAAGTATACTTATCTAGCTTGAATTCAGATAATAATATCAACTTTGCCTTGTTTTTAGAAATAATTAAGAGCTTGACTGATATAAATGTAGTGACATAGACTAAATACTATTCATTTAATTATTCCTGATTAGCATCTGTCTTTATTTGGAGATACTACATATTTAATATGAGAGCCTATTCTGTATTCATTAGTTTGATCATGTAACATATCATTGCTTGGTTAAATTCTATAGCCTCTTTAATTGTTATAGAAATATTTTCACTATTTTTACATTTTGCTTTATTATTAAATGTTTCCTATCTGGCATAATTAGTCAACTGTTTTCAATCAAGTGCTTTAAATCTATAATGGTAAACAAAATGACAGCCAATGATTTGTGTCTACCCTCAACTTGTTAAAACTGCCATTTATTTTACTTCTAAGAAGAAAAATCTTTCTTGACCTCAACCCATCCAAAACAAACAAAAAATCTTGCAGTTATCTGAAACACTTTTTACCTTGCATTTTACCATCTGTAGAGAAATTGCTTCTGCCTTGCATAGTGTATCTTCCACATCAATTTTCATGGACAATTCATTGATATGCTAAAAAATACCAACAATATAAAAATGATAATTGAAACTGAAAGCATTATTATTTTCTACTATATAATTTACCACCAGTTATATTTAGTGCAGATAAAATCCTTAAAATAAAAATATTCACATACTACAAATATGGAGGAAATGCGATATATCTTTCATTAGATTATTTCAAGTTTTAAAGCTAAGAATAGCTAATAAGCTTACGGAACATTAAATCCAGCAGCTGTCCCAAGTCTGCTATCTCAAAGTTATACGCAAAAGACAATTACTTTTTCAAACACTAAACTACATAAAGGAGCATTTGTTAAATTTCTTTTTCTTCCTAATTAGCCAGGTAAAAATAACTGGCCAATATGTATTTGTTGAACTTTCATTCTCGCAGAGTCAGTCCTAGCATTAAGTGTTATTGATACAATTTAAGTTACTCAGGAGATTCAATAATGATCTAAGGAAATGTTCTGTATATCAGGACACTAAATAGAGGGAAAAGCCAAAATACTAAAATCTAAATTAAAAGAATAACTACCTTAAGTATTTCATTGAAGCCATAATGCTTTTCCATTATTTGCTGCTTCTCTGATTCCAGAATAGCACAACAGAGAAGAAGATGGAAATTTTTGCATGGTAGTTCAGTCCACATTACCTATTAAAAAAAAAATAGAACTATTTAGTAAACTGTATCAATTCTAAAATATTTTCCTCACAGATACAACGCTGAACACTGAAAGACTTCTGTGCAAAGCAGAAGTTGCCTATTTGGGGTAGTCCATTGTTTTTCTAGCTATGAAATGAGGGGTAGTAGAGTCTTACCCACAATGTTAACTATCATCAAGTTTAACATTATGTGAATATGATGTATTCTAAATGAGGCTCTTTAGATAACTACAGTAAGCAAATCACCGAGTCTAACCAATATGATAAATGTTATTATAAAGGAGCCACACCCATGAGGTTAAGTTTAAGGTGTAAGGGTTAGACACATTTTCAATATTTTTCTGAACCTTCAGTTTCTCACTTATAAATCTTCAGTCCCTGGAAAAAAAAAATAAGCCTAAATCCTAGAAATAAAAAAAGATTCAGTTATACAGTACATGGGCTCAATTAACAGCCAAAGATAGTTCTACATTCTAAACATGTAAAACACATATTATATGACTATTCCTGATTGTGACAAAAACTGAACCAACTACCCCAAATTTATACTCAAACATATAAAACGTTTAATCAATAACGACACTTCTTAAATACAGATAATACCCTCAAATTTAGGGTCTTAATTCCCCCCCGGGTTAATGTACATAATAATATCTTTTCTGGAAAGATAAAAAGACCCACACAAACAATAAATACCATTAGAATATACCTGAGATGTTTTTAATGTCTTTCAAAAAGAGTAAATCAAGTTGAACAATTTTCAAGCTAAATCTAATTGCTGAAAATTTAAATACAATGCAATTAACTTCAAAGGTTTCAATAAAAGTTTCAATGCATTTGGTAAACACAGATTGAGACATTATTCTAGCTATGTCGTAATAATATTCTTAATTCATCCTTTAAAGAAGTTAAAATACTGAAAAACATTTAAGTATGGTTCCAGGCATGTGGGTTTTACTCCTAATTTCAGAACAAAGGAAATGAGCATAGGCCGGGCCCAGTGGCTCACGCCTGTAATCCTAGCACTCTGGGAGGCCGAGGCGGGCGGATTGTTTGAGCTCAGGAGTTCAAGACCAGCCTGAGCAAGAGCGAGATCCCGTCTCTACTAAAAAAAATAGAAAGAAATTATCTGAACAACTAAAAATATATAGAAAAAATCAGCCGGGCATGGTGGCACATGCCTGTAGTCCCAGCTACTCGGGAGGCTGAGGCAGCAGGATCACTTGAGCCCAGAAGTTCAAGGTTGCTGTGAGCTAGGCTGACACCACGGCACTCACTCTAGCCAGGGCAACAGAGTGAGACTCTGTCTCAAAAAAAAAAAAAAAAGGAAATGAGCATAAAGCAAAGATTCTTCAATCAGCATATTGCCTTTTCTACTGGTAGCAGAGTCACCAACAGTATAAGAATAGATTTAAAGCTGTAAAAGCCTCAGAGGACACTAGGATTCCACTGTATACAGATGTGTTTATTATCCAAATGGATTGTCTCCCCAGTCTTTCCTTGGGAGAATTTCTATTATCCCTTAGTTTTTATAAAGATAAGGCAGCAATCAGTCACTATACCACTATTCTACTAGAAAGCACCCTGATCTATTATTGACAGATACTTCAGAAGAAAACACAAAATGATTTTCTGTTTTTCATTAAGAGCTGCCGTGGGTTAAAAAATGGAATAAAAGGATGTACACCAAAAACATGATAATGAATTCTCTCCAAACCAGATGTGGCAGAGCCTCACATAAAGTCAAGTCTCCGAAAAAAAAGAACACAAGCAGCAAATGGTCTGAAGAACTTGTTCTAGGATACCTCTTGGCCCCAAATTTCATAGGGATTGTGATTTGAAGAAAGAAGCTCCAAAAGACCAGATATTCAGTTTGAGATTTGAGATCATTAATTTTTAAAGAGAGACTACAAATCCATCAAAATTTTGGAACATACTTGCCTTAGAAATTTCAGTTAGGCTATCATAATCCATTTATACTCTACAGAATAAACTGTTTCTTTCCATAATAAATATTATATTTGCATAATAATTTAAGAACTCACCTCCCACAATCGAAGAATATCTAGAAAACTAAACTCCCTTTTAAATCTTATTAAAAGCCATCTGAAGCAAAAATAAAGGTAGCCGGAGTCCTGAGATTCTATACAAAAGAAAAAAAATACAAATATAGCTTACTCTTATGCTAATTAGGTTAGAATACAGTGACCTTTCTCAAACTCAAATTTTTCTATACATCTTAGGCAACTGAAAGTCTAAAAATTTGCTTTCTAACAATTCAAGGAAACATTCGAAATTTGTAAAGTAACTTTTCTTTTTTAAAACCACCAAATAAAAAACACATTTTATGAATCAAATTTTTAAGACAGAATTATACAAAGACAGTTTGGTCCCACACTTTTATTACTCAAAGGAACAGCAGAAGAGTATGTATTTCTTTAAAAGAGTTCTTTACATTTTTTTCCTATGCATTGTCCTACTATTTGCTGGGTATAGTTTTGATTCATTAAACTTACCTAAGTAACTGCAAAATCCACTGTCCAACAATCGAAGTAAGGTACTCAGCTGAATTAGCTGGGTCTTCATGCCCTGCATTTGTTCTTCAAAATTTTGATGCTTTAAAAGGAAATAATTGTTAAAATACGAGTAATATTTAATAAATATTTTATAATGCATACTCACTGATAACTAACACATGATGTCTGAGGACAATGTTGGACTTATACCACACTGGTTATCTTAAAAAATACATAGCTAAAAAGCTAAAGCAACACTAAAAAGGAGGCAAAGAGAAAGAATCCTTGGTCTCAAACTAAGGATTACTTTTTTCCCTCTGTTCATCTGATTAAATAAGGAAGAATGCAGGCATAGCAAATAACTGATACACTTATTTTTTACAAAGCATTAAAAACTTGGTGAAAGGAACATTTGGGAAATAAACATTTATCAAATTATTTCCATCATTAAAATTAACTTTAGTTTTAACATGTTCTTCATTTTAAAGAATTAATTAATTACTTCTTATGTCTGATGACATTAGGGAATCTGTGAGGTCAAAACCATTTTCACGAAAATACTAAAACATTATTTGGATTTCATACTTTAATTCTCTCACAAGTGCAAAGGCTATATGATATGTGATATTGTAACAGATTGACTACAGGAGCAGATAGTGAAATCCAGCTGTCTTCTATTAAACCAAGTATTTTTAAAAATGAAAAATTTAAAACAATCCCTCTTCTCAGTAAATTTTTTTCATTTGGAAAAGTTACTTTTCATTTAAAAAAATGTAATGTATGTTAGGGTGGAATAGGTTTGTTATTTTTTAATGAATAAATATAAATGTCTCAGTATTAATTTTTCACATGATAAATATCAACAGATATAACTCACACAAACAAAAGCTCTTTGGGGTCCTCAACACTATGTGAGAGTGTAAAGGGGTCCTGAGATCACAAAGTTTGCTGGGGTTTATTTACGTGCTCTAAACAATCTTCGAAGTTGAGTAGACTCCCTACCAATACCTGAGGAGTCAAGGGGCCAAGAGGCACCCAAACAAATGCTTTGAAAGGCTGCTTAAATGATTCTGAACCCTCTAACTCATGCGCCCCACACCCTTCAGTAACCTATGGCCCTAACTCTTGTGAAAAGTTTTAGAGTACAATAATAGTGTTTTAGAAGAACTAACAGATTAGACATAATTTTTTTTTTTTTTGAGACAGAATCTCACTCTGTCACCCAGGCTAGAGTGCAGTGTTGTCATCATGGCTCACTGCAACTTCAAACTCCCGGGCTCAAGAGATCCTCTTGCCTCAGCCTTCCAAGTAGCTGGGACTACAGGCACACACTATGACACCCAACACCCAGCTAATTTTTCTATTTTTAGTAGAGACAGGGTCTTACTCTTGCTCAGGCTGGTTTGAACTCCTGAGCTCAAGCAATCCTCCTTCCCAGGCCTCCCAGAGTGCTAGGATTACAGGCATGAGCCACCACGTCTGGCCTAGAAACAATTATTTTTGATCAAAAAAAATTTAAAGGCTGCTAATTCTCAACAAGCTGCTTTGCTTTAATGAATTAAAAACTAGTTTTTTTTTTTTTTTTTGAGACAGAGTCTCACTATGTTGCCCGGGCTAGAGTGCTGTGGCGTCAGCCTAGCTCACAGCAACCTCAAACTCCTGGGCTCAAGCAATCCTACTGCCTCAGCCTCCCAAGTAGCTGGGATTACAGGCATGTGCCACCATGCCTAGCTAATTTTTTCCATATATTTTTAGTTGTCCGATTAATTTCTTTCTATTTTTAGTAGAGACGGAGTCTCACTCTTGCTCAGGCTGGTTTCGAACTCCTGAGCTCAAACAATCCGCCCGCCTCGGCCTCCCAGAGTGCTAGGATTACAGGTGTGAGCCACCACGCCCGGCCAAAAAACTAGTTTTTTAATAGACTAACTCAAGGCTTCAGGATATAGTTTCTCCACATTTACTAGAGGGACCTGTAGGGGAAAGGCAGAATTAACTCTCTTAGGATAATTTTTGTTGTGACACAGCCACAGACTAAAGTTGGTTTGGGAATGCCAACATGGACAGCCATTGCTACCCATTCTACTATACAAAAAGAAGCACTCTCAAAATGACAGACACCAACTGCAAAAAAAGCAATTAATTCTTCCTAGAAAAAGTGAAGTGGGATCAACAATGGAAATACAAAGAGCATCAACTGTATCTGTAAATAAATATATGTATGCACACATATACAGAGAGATATGGAGGAGAAAGGGAGGGACCAAAACTATATGGCAAAATGAATGATGGGTATAAGTTCATCAGATCTTTGTACTTTGTGAATATTTCCATAATAACAAAGTCTATGCCTAGACCTACATTAGATGTGATTAAATATCAACAAAAGTAAATTTATGGACATTAGGTTCAGCACAAAAGTAGTAAAAACTTACATGAAGCAAGGCTGTAAAACAAAGACAAAGAGTCAAGAAGCAGCAGCACAGATTTAAGGATGCCAAAACAATAGCAATGCAGTGAAAAATAATCATACAGATTATTTTGATTGCCACATATTGCTTTCATCCAAATATTATTTTAAAAAATATTATTTAAAAATATTAGTAGGCAACATACTAAGAAGAGATCTTTTTAGAATAAAGACTAGAAAGCTCCCCAGAACATACTCAATGGAAAAGGCAAACACAGAACATTTACTGTGAAAAAGATAGAACAAAGAAATTAAACCTTTTTCACACACAAAAAATGACAAGTAGACTATAAAGTGTATATTACACATGTTCAGAAGGTAGTCTTTATATATGAGACCTAAATACATGCACACATATGTATGTACATATGCATATATGTATGTGGCATTACATGCCAATATATTTGAACATGTCAATATTGGCTTAGTTTTAATGAAAACTATTATTGCAAAAGAAACTAAATGCAGTATGCTCACATTAAGTTTTTTTTTTTTTTATTTTGGAATACCTACTATAGAGGTTTAAATTATGCACTGGGGGAAGATTCACGTGTTTATTCTACAAAAATCTGTTGAACAGCCTCATGTCAAGCATTAGGAAAATTCTGGTATGCTATCTACCACCAGTAAAACAAAGACAACATCCCTTCATTAAGGAACATACTAACTCTAGTGAAAAGAGGATAAAAAACAAAAACACAAGGAATGCAGAAAACAGTTTTTATGTAATTAGTATCAGTTGTACAGACCTTTATAAAAAATGCCTCGGGTTTCTAGAGTACTTGGTAGTAATTGGAACTAAGAAGGTAGGCAAGTCAATCAATGGAAAAGGTAAGGAAGACAAACTATGATATTACCAGATTATAGCAACTGATAAAACTTCCAAATAATGCAAAAACATTAATTTAAGGCAAAGGATTAAGTTGAATACTTACGAATTTACCAGTAAAAGAACATTTTAAACTATCAAATCTTACGAAATATACATTTGGAAAAAAACTAAAAGAAATGAGGACAAGTTGAAACCCTGGACAAGAGACTTGAGGAACAAAGTGACTATAATCAACATAAGTTAGGGTATACTTTAAAGTAACTAAAAGAGTGAAACTGCAATGTTCTTAACACAAAGAAATGATAAATGCCTGAGGTGACAGATACCCCAATTACCCTGATTTGATTAATTCACATTGTATTCCTGTTTCAAAACATCACATGTACCCTATAAATATATACAACTCTTATGTACACATAATATTTAAAAAAAAACATCTTATTTAAAAAGAGACTTGAAAAAATAGATAGAAGTGGGAAAAATTTAAAGAGGAAAGAAAAATATGCAAGCAAAAGGAGAAGAACAGAAGTAAAGAAAAAAGAGAAGGGTACCACTTCCGAATTTCACATTAGTATCCTAGAAACCCTGAGTTAAAACCTATTATTACAGAAAAATATTTTACATGGTGCAGATCCAAAGTCTCTATTATCCCCTTGCAAGCAAGCCATTTCAGTATCTGACATAAACGCTCTGCATCATGTATATTAGTTATATTTTGAAAGAATACAGTGACCTATGTAGTCAGATTTTTGGATTTCATATGCCTTTATCTACTCTTATCCCCTCTGCTTTTTTTTCCTAATAGATTGTTTGAGAAGACTTTTCTATTTTATTCCCCTGTTAATACTCTCTCTGCAATATTATCCTAAAACTCTATCTCAAAGATGTAATAATGATAATAGAGAAAATGTTACTAATACATATTTTTAGACATAGTTCAACTCAATTGATCACACACTTCTGGAAAATAACAATGAATTACTAAGAAAGTGTCAAGAGTTACAAATAGTTCAAACACATCTGGAGAAAAATCAGTTACTATAATAACAAAATCGAAAACATTCATAAAAGGTAAGGATATTACTTGGCATGACTAAGCTTTATCTCTGAAACAGATAATATGAAAATTCAACTATTTCACAAAATTGAATTCGTCTACTTCATCAATATTCTAGAATTACTCATGGCCCTTCTGCAGAATATAAGCATTTACCAATATTAAATCTTGATTATTCCTGTACTACAGGCACGTATCCTACTTTTTCTATTAAAAACAATGCCAGTATTTCTAAGTCTCTTGAAAAGCTATTTTTTAAAAAAGTAAAGAAGTCAAGAGGCATGGAGTGATTTTTTAAGTTCCATCACAGTTGGCTAAATTTAAAAATCAATCTTATAGTAAGACTATACATCTAAAATTGTCAAAATCAGTTTGATTAAAGGAAGGAATCCCTGTACTTACCATTTGTTCCATGTAAGAGGCAAAACACCAAAAGGCATCCACTTCATTTTCCATCACATATAAAAGAGGGGAAAGTAAGTCACTCATTCCTTGTACATATCCTAAAAAGAATAGAAAAAAAAAAGTCTCTGAAAACCTAAGCTTTATGTATCCTCCTGTGCATATCACCACAATTTCACTTAAAATTATATCATCCTTTGGATTCAGAAACAGGCAAATATTGATGTTCACCAAGAAAAGAACATAAAGGAGGAGGAAGTCCAGTAATCAGGTAAGAAAGATGAGTTGCTTTAGATTGAGATGTCAAGCAGATATATAGCTTCCACTATGTGTCTTTAGTGTAGATATCACTACCAAGAATGGGTAATATAAAAAAATAATGTGCAAGACCATCATGACAAAGAAGACAGGTGAAAAGAGAATCCAGAAGAACATCAAATGTAAGAGTACATGCTCAAAGGGAAATTTGAGAAGGAACAGTAAGAGAAGTAAGGAAAAAAATCAAGGGAGAAGAATGTTGCAAAAATCCAGGAGAAGAAAGTTAAAAGCCCAGAGTAGTCAACAGTGCCAAACTACCACGAATAAGCCAAGGAAAATAAGAACTGAAAAGGGTCCAACTGCCTTAGCAATCAGACCACTGGTGACCCAAACAAAAGGAGTCACAAACAAAATTATGAACCTCTTTTAAACAGTCACTGTCTATGTCCCTGTTTCCTTTCTTTTCTTGTTACTCTCAACCAATGCTAGCAATTGGGCTTAATCCAATCACTATTTTGTGCCTAAAACGACCACTTTAACTATCTTTCTCTTGATGTTATTATAATTTCTCAACTGTGACACTATTTAGAGCCCTTGATTGAAAGAAAAATTGGAAAGTTAAGGAATCAGACCCCTAACAAGTGTTATATTTTCTTTTCACCTGAACATGTCAAGCTTCTTGGGTTTTGTTTTTTTTTTAATTTCTCTTTTATAAAACCCTCAATTTCCTTGCTTTACAATGTGATTTCAGACTTAAGAACAGATTTTCAACCAACAAAGGGATAAGAGCTTATATTAAGCTTTTTCATTTACACATTATCATTCAACTTTGTAACTTTTACACATTTATTAAAATTTTAGAGATTTTTCAATGGTAGCTTAGGAAGTCTGTGAAAACAGTCTTTCATTTCTAAAGCTTACATTTTTATTCGCCCAAATCTTATCTGCACGGAAGCCATTTAAGACATATTTAAAAGGGAGAGGGGATATTTCTGTTAGAAATGATACACAGTGATACATCACTCTGCCTGTTTCAAAAGAAAACTTCAAAAAGTTTCTTATCACCAGAACTTTCCTACCTGGCACTGACACAGTGAAATCAATGACAAATATAAAGTCTAAACCAATTAAAACATGAAGGAAATCTAATCTGAATTCAACAAAGTGCAAAAGAGTACTACTTTACTGGGTCTGACTGCGTATGGTCTATGACAAATATTTCAAAGTGTACTATTCAAAAGATTTACAAAGAACCTTTCCTCTGGAAAATGTGCTTTATTATTAAGTTACAATGAATAAAAATTTCTAAGAAGCTAATTTAATACTTTAAGTCTTCAGCTTTCATATGGGATCACTACCACATTTCTTATGTAAGTCTTAACTGAAGCAAGTAGTCAAATTAATCTTCATGTTCTAGCTGCCTCTAATTTATTTTATTTTATACATGATTTTCTGTGGGGTATGTCATGGGTTGCAAGGGTGGAATTAATGTAAAAATTCCTTCTAATTAAAGAAAGATTAAAGCTGTTTAAATTAGAATTCAGTGACGCTCAAATTCTGCACTAGTGCTGACTGACGTACATCTTAATCAGCATTACTACAATTTCTAAAGTAGTTCCCTAAAATTACTTTCATAGCAAATTTGTTTCAGTGGGAAGGTGTGAAAAATGAACTCCTTATTATCCTAGTGTACATTTTCTTACACTAAAAAGAAAAATTTAATCTACATACAGGTCAATTTTCCAGGTAACTGAAGCTTATCCCTCTGCTTAGAGTATCATATTAAAAAAAAAGATCTTGGGGGTTAGAAATCATTTTAAAAAACACTCTCTTGCCTTCATACACACAGTATTTTGAGTATAACTTAAACTTTTATTGATCATTCAGGATCATCATAATGCACATACACTGTAAAGAAAAAAAAAGACACCTCCCATAGATACTTCCTAAAGTACAGTGCATTTGCACTCACTAAAAATCACTCATCCTTAGGATCTTCTGCCTGCTTTTGATAATTTTTGTCTCCTTCCTCACTGTTAACAAGATTGCATTCAATGAAAATACACCTGTACCTCATCTATAGCTTAAGAAGCCAAATAACTCAACATGATAGAATCACCAACAAGAAAGAGTAAATTTACAGCCAAGGTTGCTCTGCTATGAATAAAGGACAAGAAATGTGGTCTACTGCTTTTATAAAAAGTATCTTAGCTTTTCATAAGGCCAGGGTTATTAGTGGGAATCTTGACTGTTTCAGATAACTCAAGTGCTAGGGCTGGACATGGTGGCTCATGCCTATAATCCTAGCACTCAGGGAGGCCGAGGTGGGAGGATGGCTTGAGCTCAGGAGTTCAAGACCAGTCTGAGCAAGAGCATGACCCTGTCTCTACTAAAAACAGAAAAAATTAGCCAGGCAACTAAAAATAGAAACAAAAATTAGCTAGGTGTGGCAGTGAGCACCTGTAGTCCCAGCTCCTTGGGAGGCTGAGGCAGGAGGATTGCTTGAGCCCAGGAGTTTGAGGTTGCTGTGAGCTAGGCTGATACCACAGCACTCTAGCCCGGGCAACAGAGCGAGACTTTGTCTCAAAAAAAATAAAAAAATAAAGTGCCTGGATAGAAAGAGTGTGGCATTAGTATAGACAAATGGAAATGGCAAGTTACCTCGTTAGCTGGTTTGAGACAACGCCCTAATAAAATTGAGCATTCAGAAACTCCTGCTATAGAGTATATTTGAATTCCTAACTCAAAATTACCATCTGAGAATGGGGCACAAGGCCTCCCATTTCCAAGGCCGATGGTCCTATTCCCTACAATGGTAACAGAAATTAAAATGGCAATGTGTTGAGGTGCTAAAGGTGTAGAGGTAAGAATGCCAGCCTGCAATAAAGACCTGGGTCTCTATTCCCAGACCAATTATTTGCTACTTGTGCAACCTTGAGTCACTCTCTGAGTCAATATAACCTTCCTGATAAACTCAGGATTATTTGCCCACTTCTTCAAAAGGCTGCTAATTAGAATTAAGATAATAATCAAATCAAGTATGACAGCACTCTGTAACCTAAAAAGCACTCTACCAATATTCTTTCAATGATCCAATTTGATGAAGGATTTGTTCTGTAAAATTTGGATTCAGTCAAAAGGGCACACTCAAGGATCCAGAAGGCCACACGTGTCCCCAAGGCTGTAGATTCCCCTAACTTACATACAGGAAGCCAGCAGGAATTTACATAGACAAAAACAGGGAAGAAAACGTACCCGTAATTCAAGGTTCATTTGGCTTTAATGTGCTGAGTCACCTTCTCCAAAAGATGTCCCAAGCTCTACTAAAGTCATCTGGAAAACATCTATTTCTACTGTGCTCTAGCTGGGAGCCACTCACTTCGCAGGTAACTGAGAAACTTTTCTATTATTCTTACTTATTTAAAGGTTGATGGTTAGGAAATTTGTTGGTCCTTTAAAGAAAAACTCAGTTCTCTTGCCCCTTAAGATACTGGCCCCTTAAGTTTTCTACCCCTTAGTATCCCTTCCCCATGCAATTTCCCACCTCTACCTCGAGCACCAGTCCTTACAATCTAGTCTTGGTAGAAAGACTTATCAAGAAAAGAGAGTAAGTTCTACATGCCCAATAAAATTATCTGTACTGCTTGTCTAAGATTTCAAATCAGCATTTTTCTTCACAAAGGAAAAAGCATATCAAATAATGGTTCCTAAACTTTCTCCATTCACAGCATCCTTAATGTCTCAGTAATTTTTTCCAAGACACTCCTAGTCTCAAAGAAATAACTAACAGCTCCATTTATTAAGCAGTTAGGTCCAAACAACATGTTAACTATTTATGTCCTATGAACTTAGCACGTGTTGAGCACTACACTACTTTTTAAACCTTGACATTCAACTGGATACCACCATCCTCATTTCCTGTTCCTCATTTATTTTTACACAGTTCTTGCTTATCACAGCAAGGCTAAAAAAAAACCCCAGCTTTGCAAAGATATAACTTCATCAAAAGGTATGTAGTGAACTAATGTTAAAACCTTTAACTATTCCAGCAAGTAGTTAGAGCACTGTCCTACAGATGTCACTATAATTCCCTCAAAAATTTAAAATATTCCACAGTGCCCTGTGACTTTGCTGCAGCAACCCAGGGCTCCTTGGTTGGGAACGATAGCCTTATGTTTCCAGTCCCCTATAAAAATTAGGCCACAGAGCTATTAGCTATGTCTAACTGGTTAATAAATTTAAATTCTAAAGTAAATATATTTATATATTTTTAAATTAGGACTTTACCTAATTTAAACAAAAAGTGAACTTACCTAAGTCAAAATCATACATACAGTAGGTCATCAAAATGTCATGAAGCAAAATCAACCCTGGATTATCTTGGCCTTCATAAAACTTGTTTGTTCTATCTGTTCTGTTAACATCTTTTTCTGAAAAGGAAAATCATCACATATTTAAAAACCTTTCAAAAAACAGATTTTATGAAGCTCGCATCTTAAAAGTACAGAATTATTCTGCTTGCCATGAATTTCATTCTCTTGCTAAGCTTTATTTCATGAAAGAAAAATTCATCAAATTCCATTTCAAACACGCAATAAAGTAACATTTTGGAATATTTTTCAAAAATCAGTCCACCTCCTCATGGGCAGATTTTTCAATGTTTTTCAATTTTTATCTAAACACAGAAACCTTTTAATTCCATAGTAGGAAACATTTTCAATGAATTAAAAGCAATACTAAGTCATAATTCACACTAGTTAGCGATAAAAATACCAGTCATTAATGCATGTGATAGTAGTACTTGAAAACAGTAATAAAAAAGTTACTATCCAATCAAACGTAATCAAAGATATTTGTTTCATTCACAATTACATCATTCATTATCAACTTCTTTGTCATTCATGTTCCATAATCATCTTCAGGACAAATTACTTCCTTATTTTCACATACACACCATTCAGTTTAGATATTATTATGAGTGGTTTATTTTAACTTTATAAAAATTAAAATCCACACTTTGCTAGAAATGACTTCACAACATCAAAAATAGATTTTGAAACATCAGCATGAGTGTGTCCAAGGTTGTATTGACAATTCAATTCCCAAATACTGATGTCTACTAAGTGCAGACTTTACAACTAAAAAGGCATTCCCCATACTTGAACTCTCAGTAAATCAGGAAGAAATAACTTAAAGAAACTCGAAATGATTAATATGCTCTATAATCAATTCTGTTTAAAAGCCATGACTGCCTTCACCCTTATTAAACTGAGTAATTTGAAAAATTTCTCAAAAGTCTTTATGAAGAGATGACAATATAGAAGATGACATGAGCTTAGATTCTGTAAGGGCATTTAAAAAAATTATTAGAACAATGGTCTAGCTTCCTGTACATTACATCTGATTTTTAAAAAGCATGCAAATATCTACAGAATTGTGGATATGTTTCTCAAACAAGAAAAAGCAATACCAAAGTCACTCATACTATAAATATAAAATTTCAATTAAAAATGTCAAAATGTTTCAATCTCATTTCATAGCTGATAAAGAGGTACTTAATTTTATTAACTCAAGCACAATTTACATAGTCATAATGCCAATACAGAATATCTGCCTTAACAGGTACTTTAAATATAGTAAGAAGTTATTTGTACCCTCATGAACTACTAATATTTCTTTCCTTTTATATAGATATTTAGTAATGACAAGCCAGGTAAAAAACAGAAAAGGGATCAAAAATGATATATAAAAATGATATTTTGTAAGGTATTTCCAGAAAGAAAATGAGTACGTAAGTTTTTTTTTCAAAAAAAAAGCCCCTAGTTAAATCCAACTCTCCACATAATTGGATGTAGCTCAAAAGGCTGAAGAAAAACAACTGTGCTGACTGACCCCATTTTATATTCACCATCACTAACCTCGAGTGAGCCCTTAATGCTGTCTGGCAATCATGCTCTATTTCCCCATCCATTCACACTCCCTATTCATGTAACTATTTTACATCTCCTTTCTCCTCAAGCCTGTATCTTCTCCCACATCTCAGCTCTCAGGTAAGGATCTGGCTTCCTATTTCTGAGAAGACAGAAATTATCTAAAGAGAATTTTCACAGGTTTCCACTATTCTAACCACATAACCGTATTTGAGTCTCCCTTCTCTCCTACCATTATAAATTTCATTATCATAAAAACCTTTCTGAACCCTACTTTTCCCTCTACCTGATGCCCCATTTTCTTTCCATCTGTTCAGAGCAAAATTCCTTCAAAGAGCTGTATGTATTGTCTCCAAGTCCTCTTCTTCCACTCTCTCTTGAATTCACTCCAATCAGGCTGTCACACCCAGCAATCCATCAAAATTTCTCTTTAATTAAAATCTTCAGTCATCTCCTTACTACTCTAGGCAATGGTCAATTCTTCATCTTACTTGACTTCACAGTCATCCTCTCTTGAAATATTAATACTTTCTTCACTTGTGTTTTAGGAGATCAAACACTTATGTTTTCCCTGTCTGTTTCTGGCTCTTTTTTCAGTCATCTTTTCTGATTTTTCCTACTTTTTCCTACTTACTAAACTAAAGTGCCTTCAAGGCTCGGTTCTTGGGCCTCTTTTTTTCTAACTATATTACTCCCCTGGCAATTTCACCTAGTTTCATAATTCACAGTTTCACATAGTCTAATACCATTTATGCTGATGACCCCTAAATTCACCTCCAGCCCCTACCTCTCCCCTGAATTCCAGCTCTGTATATCCACCTCTACAGATTAACTGGTAGACATCCAATAGGCATCTCAAAATTAATGTCCAAAAGCAAATTCCAAATATTCCCTTCTAAACTTGCTTCTCTCATAGTTTTTTGCATCTTTTAAACAAACAGCAATTCCATTCCTCCGGCTGCTCACACTAAAGCTAAAAACGTGGGAGTCGTCCTTGAGTTTTGCTTCCCTTATCTGACACTGATGTTATCAGTTAAACCTTCAAAATACATATAGAAACAAACATTAAGATCTCCCACCCAACTCATTCCACAACCTACCTAGAGTAACTCCATTCCAGTCACACTGGTCTCCTGCTCTTCTTCAAACATGCAGAGGCCTTGAGGCAGAAACAAGTCTAGGCCTTGCTGTTCACCCAGAATGCCCTTCACCCAGATAGTTGCATAGCATATAACTCCTGCTTCTTCAAGTCTCTAGTCAAATCTCACCCGCTCAATTGCTAGCCCCCTGGATCAAGCAACCATCTCTCACCTGAATTACAGCAATAGCCTCAAATGGTGTTTTTCTTTCCTCCCACGTTTGCTCTCCTACAACTATTCTCCAGACAACAGCCAAAGTGATTTGTTAAAACGTAACTCAGATCGTGCCACTCTTCTGCTCAAAATCCTCCACTGGCTTCCCATCTCACTTCTGAGTAAAGGCCTAAGTCTTTACAAGGACCTACAAAGGCTCTATTAGATCTGCATCTAATTGTCCACCCTTCACTCTCTGGCCTTATCAACTCATTCCAGCCACACTCACCTCCAAGCTATACTTCAAACATGGAAAGGTCCTGAAGCAGAAAGTAAGTCTAACACTTATTGTTCATTTCAGTTTGGAATGTCTTTCCCCTATGTATCTGCATAGCTCACCCATCCCCTTTTTCAAGTTTCTACTCAAATGTCAGTTTCTTGGTAAAAAGCCTTCCCTGGTTGTCCAAGTTAAAACTGTAACATTGTACACAAACGTCCTAACCCTCTTCCTTGCCTTATTTTTCTATTTATCACTTACCACTAACATACCACATGTTACTTACTTATCTTGTTTACTGTCTGTTCTTTCCCACAGAAATGGAAGCTCCTTGAGGGTAAGAATTTTGCCTGTTTTTTTCACTGATGAATTCCCAATGCCTAGAGGAAAGCCTAGTACATAATAGGCACTAAGTAAATATTTACTGAATGACTGAATATATGAATGTTTAAAATAATCAATATGATTTTCAAAAAGATCCCCTGGTGATTCTAATGTGCAGTCAAGGTTAGAAACCACTGCTCCAAAGACTGAGATTCCTGGGCCTTCTTAACTATCTCCTTTTCCCCTAGGTGACATCATCTATTTCCATGGATATTTATACCGATAACACCCAAATTTGTATCTCCTACCAGATCACTCCAGACTATTCAACTAGCTACATGACATTCCATTTGTATAGCTCACCTTAAGGTATATACAATTAATACCTGATTCAATTTCACCATACCCAATTCTGTTCATCTGAGTAAGAGTGCAACTCCTACCAACCACCCAATTTCAAGAAACTGAGTCTTATCTTTGATTTCTCTTTCCCCTTCACACCCCATATTTAATACATCAGAAAGCCTTATCAATTCTATCACCAAAATATAACTTCAATCCATATACTTCTCTACATCTCCACTACCATCATCTCTTGCTTGGCTGGACTTCTACTAACTCATCTCCCTATTCCTACTCGTATCTTGACTCAAAATTCATTACCAGACAGCAGTAAAAATGATTTCAAAATATAAACAAGATATTCTTATTTTAAAATGCTCCAGTAGTTTCTCATCAAACTTAAAGTAAAATCCAACTTCTTGGCATGATCCACAAGACCTACCTACAGCTTACTGTATAGCTTTGTTTTTAATAAAGTAAACTAATACTCACCCCCAAAAAGAGCTTTTAGTAATCATTCCTAAAAAATACTTCTAGAAAAAAGTATTATACAAAAATAATGCTTTAAAACTAACTTATTTTATATACTTCTACTGGTATAAAGCATAGTACAGCTGAAAGGCCACTTAACTAAGAATTAGATCTGAGTATGAATGAGTCTGGGCTATCGAACTAACTGGATAGACGGCTTAAGACGATTTACTAACCTTTTCTGAGTTTCAATTTTATCTGCTAAAAATGAGCAAATTAGGCTCAATTCAAATTATACTATGGGGATTTAAAATATCTAAATTTTTCTATCGGTCTCCTGGAAAGGTTGAGAAGATCACATAATCATTATTGCTTGATATAAAGGGAAGAGGATATGGCATGCGGAAGGAAAAGTCCTAGAATACAGAATTATTTGACCTACAAGTTCCCTTCCAGTTCAAATATTTTGTCCAAGCAAGATGAAAATAGTCCATTATCATTTTTCCTACTGAAACTGAAAATGCAAGAAATTTCAGTTGGAAACTTTAGATAAAACTCCATGACTCAGGACCACTAACCTCTTGCCTTGACCAGAGGAAGGACACAATTTATACTGGTATAATTTATTTTTCAGAAAATTTCTTTTTTCAATCAAAAGTACTATTGCCGGCCGGGCGCGGTGGCTCACACTTGTAATCCTAGCTCTCTGGGAGGCCAAGGCAGGCGGATTGTTTGAGCTCAGGAGTTCGAAACCAGCCTGAGCAAAAGCGAGACCCAATCTCTACTAAAAAAAAATAATAGAAAGAAATTAATTGGACAACTAAAAATATATAGAAAAACCCGGCCAGGCATGGTGGTGCACGTCTGTAGTCCCAGCTACTCAGGAGGCTGAGGCAGGAGGATCGCTTGAGCCCAGGAGTTTGAGGTTGCTGTGAGCTAGGATGACACCATGGCACTCTAGCCCGGGCAACGCAGTGAGACTCTGTCTCAAAAAAAAAAAAAAAAAAAAAAAAAGGTACTATTGCCAAAAAGATCTCAGCACTTGTCTTTATGTCTACAAAATCTATAAAACCAATCTGTTACGTTGGGCTTTCTAAATATAATTTAGAGAAATCCTTCTTCCATGAGAGGGTGGTGGTGGTGGCTGTGGTAGTGATCATAACACATCCCCTATCTTTATGTACAAAGCTATAAATAAACAAATTCAAATACCATACAAGAACGCCAAAACTAACTTCCACTACTATTCAAAGCTATCCTAAAATTACATAAACAGTGTAGTAAGATAGTTAAGAACATTAAAACAGGGTTCTGCACACTTATTAACCGTGTGACCCTGGACAAGTCATTTATGTTCTCAATGCTTCAGTTTTCTCAACTGAAAATGAAGATTATGAACTGAAACTCGTCAGGTAAACACGTACAGCAGCAACTATGCTTCCTTCAATAACTTACACCAACCTGGTCGTTATTGTAAGACCTAGACAACACAGTACTATTTGGAAATAAGTCTAATGCTTTTATGATAAAATTCTATTAAGTACTTTTTTTAGAGAATAGTTATTCCCAGGAAAATAGTTATTTTATTTTGAAATGGTAACAAAAATTTACTATTTAGAGTCATTTATTTAATTTAAAAAATGAAGTATATGCATATTTAGGAAAGGTCTAGAGGAATATAAACCAAAGCCTGTTAACCATAATTATCTCTGAGTGACAGAAATAAAACTAATCTTTATTTTCTTCTTTTTGTTCATCTATAGTATCCCTAATTTTTCTATAATAAACACAAATTAATAATGAAAGTTTTTTAAAATGAAATTAAATTCAACACGCACAAAAAGTTAAGCCATCTTTTTTTTTTAATTCACATTTTGGAACTGAAAATTAAATAATATCAGTACTTATAAATATACTGACTGAATTCATATACCTATTGGAACAAGAACAATCAAGAACATTAAACACATTCCAATGTACTTTCTAATTATGACTTGTCTTTTGAATGCTAATGCTGTAGCATGTATCTTTACTTCTTTAATCTTATCAACAAGTCAACATAAACCCCTCTCTTGCATTTCCAAAGTTGTTAAGAAAAAATTACCAATAAGACTTCTATAATCTCTTAACCTCGAATTTCTCTTCTCTTGTTCCTCACTGACAGACTTCCACTGTAGTTTCATCCTGAAGTATTCGTCGCTATAGAAAACAATTTGACACCAAAGAAAGCTATTTGAAAACTTTATTTTTAACATTAATTGGATTTTTCTATAAACAGTATATCAAAGTATTTATGATGCTAGTGGGATACAAGTTTATAAACATGATAGTGCAATGTTTAAAATTATGACAAATGAGTAAAAACAAAGGAAAAAATAACCTTATACATGTCACAAAGTTTATGTGATAAACTTTAACTACTAGAATAATTTTAGGCATGCTTTTACAAAAACATTTACCTCAATCCTTTAAATTATATTTAA